AAAAAAAAAAAAAAAAAAAAAAAAAAAACGGAACTTGAAACACTACACACGTACAGAACGTTTGGAGCAACTTTCAAAACTACACATTATAAAAAACGTTGACGTAAAATAGAATGTTGTGCACGACATACTTAAAAAAATTGTTGACTCTGCGCTACGTTTCCATTTTTCGTATCAGCGTGTGATGATCGATGATTTTTCAATGGGAAGGAGATAACAGGGTAATTATCAGTAAATGATGCACCTGCCGGATCGTCGAGCTGTAAGTTGCACGCGAATCACTTTGACCTGTAAAGGCGGCGAACGAGTTCGTTCGTAGCGCCGTGCGTAACCCGTCCGTCCGCTGTCGCCTGAACGCCATAATCCGAGGTAAAATCCCGTAATTCGTAGTTTTCGCTATTCTCCACGCGTCCGCGGTACACATCGTGTAACTAGCAACGACTGAAACACAGTCCTGAGGCCCCAGTGACCAAACAATTACGCTGCATCCTCTCTTATTGCGTAAAATTAATCCGATTTAGGTGACCTCGACACAACATAACCTCTAACAACCTGTCGTCTGCTATCAATTCCGGATGGCCACGGTGACGCAGGCCGTGTGTATATTCGCTCGGTTCCGTTAAATTCGCGCATGAAATATTACAGGCTCGGAGTCTTTGGAATGCGTCAGGTAGTGCATGAATCTAATGAAAGTACATCGGCCGCACATGAATATTCTCATATCGTAGACCCAACCCATTTTCTTATTGTATCATTTGTTAGACCGTTCCATCGAAACTGTGTCACGGTTAGAACCAACCGGTTCCTCTTTTCCCATTTATTTATTTATTTATTTATTATTATTTCTTTGGTGTATCTCTCGATGTTGCAACTGTTTATTCCTTTCTCTTTTTCTTTTTGTGATCACTGTTTCATTTTATACGTGCTTAATAAAAATACATAACCTTCACGTCGACGTCGAGTTCATTGCATTTTGTCAGACTCGTTTCGAACAAACGAGGAAGTCTTCGTTATTTTGCGTGACATTGATTCCCGGGGTTCACTTCAATTATTTTTCGCTGTTCAATTCATTTTTATTCACGTTTTGTGAAATTATGTAATATATTTTTGCACTTGTTTTTTTTTCTTTTTTCTAATGGAAATACAATTTACGAAAGTTTTATTGATGTACAAATGTGATCTTTTAAGTTGCGTACTTATCTTTTCGTTTTGTAATTTCGTGCTTTTGCATGTTACGATACGTAATGTATAATTTTTTGTACTCGTACATTCGACATTTTAATAAATTTCATTTTTACATGGAAAGTTCGTTTTATTTTCTACAATACCACTGACACACAGCACTTTCTGTTTATATAAAAAACTTATTTATGAAAGAATTATTTTTTTATTTGAGTGCAATGTATTTGTGACATTGTTATTATTTTTAATTCACACAAGTGTATATTAAATATTTATACAACTAAATATTATAAAACGACATTTTTATACAAAGTTATATCATTTTCTTATATCATATAATGAGCATTTTGTGTTCATGTTGTCTATTGCTTGATAATTATTCTAATGATTTGATATTAATTATTAAAAGAAATGCTGTGCTAAGCCATCAAACTTTCTAATATTTGTGGCCTAAGTGTTTGAAAGAATTCAATAAAGCAAGAAGATGAATAATCAGGCATTCAGTTTAGCTGAAAGACTTATTCCTTCAACCTATGTACAACAAGGTTTAAATGCAAAAAAAGCACGTGAAAATCTTATACGACACTTTATTGAACATGTAAGATCTCATTCAATATTCTGATAATATATAACAATAATATCATTTAATTGCTAATGTAAACTCTTTTAAAATAGCAAAAATGGCCAGAAGAGGGTTGGGATGACGCAACAATAGAAGCTTTTCTCTCAGATCTATCACAAATGGACAGCAATAATTTTCCTTCCAATTGTAGTGTTGGAGAACGTGAAGCAAGAATTGCATCAAACATTGTTGCAAGGCGACATTTTCGAATGGGTCATGGCATAGGTAGATCAAGTGATTTAGACGAAGTACAACCAAAAGCTGCAGGAAGTAGTTTAATGTATAAATTAACAAATGCTTTAGTACTTGAAGTTATTCGATATATGGGTAAGATCAATAATTTTAAATTAAAATTTTATATAAACACTATAATATTTTATATAAACACTTTTTCATTTTTCTTTAAACATTTTTTTTATTACAGGTGTAAAAAGTATAGCAGGTTGTTTTTTATCACCAATGGCTACAGGCATGAGTTTGGTGTTATGTATGTTAACATTCAAACAGGATAGACCACGAGCAAAGTATGTCCTATGGCCTAGAATCGATCAAAAATCAAGCTTTAAATCAATAATCACAGCAGGATTAGAACCAATTGTTATCGAAACCAAAATAGTTGGAGATGAATTAAAGACAGATATGCCAAGACTTGAAACTCAAATGGCAGCTTTAGGTGAAAGTGTTGCTTGTGTGCTTACGACAACTAGCTGCTTTGCACCCAGGGCATGTGATTCTATTGATTCAATTGCAGCACTTTGTACTCAATATAATATTCCTCATTTAGTAAATAATGCGTACGGGTATGTCTGTGTATAATATTGCATATATACTATTGTTTTAAATACATTATGTTTGAACAGATCTTTTATTATACTTTATTAACAGTTTACAGAGCACAAGATGTATGCATTTAATTCAAGAAGCATCGCGTAAAGGGCGTGTCGATGCTTTCGTTCAAAGCACAGATAAGAATTTTTTAGTGCCAGTTGGTGGAGCAATTATTGGTTCATTTGACAAAAATCTGTTAGATCGCATATCAAAGATGTATCCAGGTCGTGCAAGCGCTAGCTCCATTATGGACGTAATGATAACGTTACTAAGTTTGGGAATGGCAGGTTACAAGCAATTAATAACGCAACGTAAAGAAATGTATTCATATTTGAAGGAAGAACTTGGAAAATTAGCAGCAAGACACGATGAAAGATTGCTGGACACTAAAGGCAATCCTATATCAATGGGGATGACTCTTCAATGTTTAAGTCATCAGCATGATAATAAGCAAGTTACAATGTTAGGTTTTATGTTATTTCTCCGCAATGTTAGTGGTACAAGAGTAATAACAACAACAGAAACTAAGCATATTGTTTCGTATAAATTTGAAGGTACGTGACTAAAAGTATGTGTCTAATATATTTTAACGGCAGTCTGAAATTCATTATATCTTTCATTCATTTCATTTAAATTAGGTTGGGGAGCTCATAATAGTAATTATCCAGTACCATATTTAACTGCTGCTGCAGCTTTAGGTATGAAAAAGTCAGACGTGGACATGTTCATACAACGATTAGATAAAGCTTTGACTAAAGTAAGAAGGCGTTCAGCTCCAGTTACACCAACAGCATCTCTTGCTGGATCCAGTATTAATGGAGATGCAGGAGGTACTGGTGGTCCTGGAGAATCAAGTACAGCTTCAACTAGCCGAGCAAGTAGTAAAGATAGTTTGAGAAAATGAACCGTAATCAACGCAACTGGTCAGTCGAATCAGTATATTAACTTGTAAGTAAATTATTACTTACAATTAGTACATGTTGCATATTTCTGAGGAACATTTTACACTTTTTTTTTAATTTTATTTAAATAATTAATTTTCTTGAATATATTTAAAATATATAATTTATATTAATTTACAATTTCATTTCTCTAAATTAAGTTAAGCTACTTCTTAAATATTTATTCAAGTAATAATATTTTGTAATAAAATTATATTCTAAAGAGGTACGCAACAGTAAAATGTGCTGATTCACCTGTCCACTTGCGTTGTAATATTGTCAATTGTCATGAAATAAAGGAAGAGAATTCCATACAAATATTAACATCGGAATATCTAAGCCAATATTCAAGAAAAAAGAAAATGTAAGTATATTCCACACATTCATTGAAAGATATTAACTAGTAAGCGCTGGCCACAAGAGTTATATTTGTTATAATATATATACAGTTACTTTTTAAACAATAATTAATTTTCTATTCGTTGAAGCGCGATTCTGTTTAAGTGTATTTCCACGAATTGGCAAATTTGATCTCATTAAAATTAATATAATATCTTTATACTGATTATATGTTTTAAAACAATTGCTACTTCATTTTAAGTCTAAAGTTAGTTAGCATTCTTTTCTGTAATTTTTTCGTGTTAGAACATCAAAATAATATAAAAAGTTTATTTTCACTTAGAAATAATATAATTCTATCAATGATCATAGAAAGAAGACATGTTATTACTAAGAGAAGTTTATAGTAGATACAGTACTTGCTTAATCACACTGTTATAGAAAGTGTGTGCAAAAATTAGAAGCACTATGTAAAACAAAAGGATACTCCAAAATCTTGATAAATTGAATACAGATAGAAACATGCTATTTATGATTTTTAACTTTTTTGTTGTTTTTTTTGCAAATATTTATTTGTAGATTACATATATTTCATATATTCATAATGTTTAAACTTTGTTATTATCAAATAACAATATTATCTTTTCAATATTTTTAAAAAAACAATGAATATGCAAAAAAAGCAATCATTCTCTAAATGTCTATACAAATTTTTGTATGCATTTATATTGCACACAACAATTTGTACATGCACTCATGAAGAAAAGTACATTGAAGATTCACCTTTGGATAAATTATTTCTTGATATGTTGATACATACATTCCTTCAAGTATAGTAAAATAAGTCAATTAATATTTGGTACAATATTCAATAAAAGCAAAGAAATTAACAGATATTAAAGAACAAAGTTTAAAGCATTTAAATGATTCTAGTAATTATTTTAATATCAATGTTGCAAATGTTATTTATATTCAAAAGTTATTTATCGTTGGTTTTTACTTTAAAAGTTTATGAAATACAATATGTATTTTAATGGTTGCAAAATCTTACTGTTTAAACTCCTATTGTGTACATTTTAATAATACAGTATAATGTTTGTTGATAATATATTAATATTAACTCAGAAGAAAGCAATATAATGTACAAAAATAATTAACAAGTTATATAGGTTATTAAAATCACAGGAAAGAAATCAAAGATAGAAAACTCGTATTATGTTATCATACTTGATTATAAATGAATAAATAATATTTGTTAGTTCATAAATAAACTGTGAATAATTTTTGGAAATCAGAAAAATAATTTCTGAATTAATGAAATGTTACAGAATTGTTATTCAGGGTGAATCATATATGCTATTGTAGAATCTATTATCATTATAAAATTATTGATAAACAAAGGTAACATATAGTAAGAATTATAAAAAAGAATGTTATAGAATATTACATTGTACTTTAGTATTGTATTTTATGCTAATGAAATTCCTATGTACATACAGATGTTTTTAATTTCTCTCTTCAATATTTTATTGTTTACTTAATTCTTAATGTATATATTATTTTGTTTATTGATTATATTATAATCTTATATTAAAAAGGCCAGCTCACATATATATATATACATTATAAAACCTGCCTTTTACAAGAAACAACGATTTTTATGGTCCTACTTTATCAACACTTTTTAATTATTTTTGTATGTATACTTTTCAATTTTTGTCAATATCATTGTAAAAAAAAAAAAACAAATCACACTTTTAAATGAATAGATAGATTATTTATCGGAGATGTCCTACTATTAAAACAAAGTATTATAAACGAAACCATAGAAATCTTATTCAATTTATGTATTTTTTAGTTTATTGCAATTAACACGTACTATTGGCTGTGAAATATTTTACTCAATATACGTTATAAATTAAGAAAAAAAAGATAATTATTCACGATTTCATAACCTTGAGTTATATCTTTAAAAGAAATATTGTTTACTTTTAATATTCGAAAAAAATTGCTGATATTGTATATACACAATTGTTTTAACATTTAAAAAAAATATATATATAAAGTATTGAAGGTACTAAATGTAAACAACTTATGCATCTTGGATTATATTCAAAACACCACTAATCCCAATATTACATTCTCCTGATCATAATATGAATGTATTTATGTTCTACTATCTAAATGACCATTTTACACATATAGTACTTGCTTAAAATTCAAATGGAAATTAAACAACCATTCAACTTATTAAAACACTGCATTTAACATAACTATTTCAATATATATTTCCATTTGAAAATTTAAACAATGTACATACATCAATATGGTAGTAATATACTACTAATCAAGGATACTCATATGTACGAATATAATTGCAATTCTAAGCTCACGAATACAATGCAATTCTATGCTCTTCCCTAGTATGATTATCATCTGATAGTCAATGCTTTATTTGTAACATATGCAACTATTGGATAAATAAAAATAAAAGTATTAAACAAGATTGTTTTATTCAACTTGTAGCATATTATATCTTTATAATAAAGATAATATAAATAACATATAAATTACACGAGCTTTACTACTACACAAGCTTCTCCGTTGTGCCACACAAGCTTCATATGAATCTTGTGTAATAGTGATGTTCATATGTTATTTAGAAAGGAAAGAAACGACGAAGAAAAGTATGAAGGAAACTATATATTTCCCTGTAGCTTTAAAACCTCAAGAGCCATAAGGCACGAGATATATCTTCATATACCTCGTCTGTGAATGCGCTAAAAAATCAGTGATTTTTTTACTACGTCGGTATTTCAGGTTACGGGCCATGAAATCCCGTAAAATGCTTAGTCTATTCATATATCTCGTCTATGGTACAGATGAATAGACCTATCAGTTGCTCTGTGGTTTTTACAAACAGGACAAGGCATTATTTTCAAATATGTATGGGATGGTTTTATCATTCACTGATAAGGTCGGTAAAAGCAAATGATGTAACTTGAGAATATTACCGGCTTATTTTTTTGTACAGATTTTTTATCGTATAAGTATTTTTCATCTTCTAATTTTTATTTAATATATAACGAAGCAGCTGTCAAATATAACCTGTAAGGATTCAAATTTACCAAATATAATAGTGAATTAAGATAATTACATTATTTAATTTCACTGTTTTACAACATTATTGTTATAATTATTGTTATAAACATATTTATTATTAGTTAAGGTATTTATTATTTTATTACCATATTATTTTTTTAAATGTTTATATTATCAAAAATAAGAGTAATATTTATTTTTCATTTTAGGGGACATAGAATGGCAAAAAATAAAATACATGATAAATTTGCAAAACTAAAGACCAAAACTGTTAGTCCGAAAAAAGAAAATAAATTTAAAATGTCCATGTTGAACATGTCAGTTACAGTTTTATGCATTGCTATTGCTACTTGGTTCAGTTACAGGGGATACTTAGAAACAAGAGTAAATACTCCATATGATGTAAACAAGGTATTTACTATATTTAAAATAAATATTGATATAAGATGTAAAAATATCTTTTTATCTTTATTTATTATTTCGTATCAGCTAAATTTGTTCAAAATTTTTTTACTTTCACATGTAAAAATTAATAATGGTATTAATTATTTATCTGTGAAAAATAGTTAGTCACAGCCTCTGGATTAGATGTTCCAGACAGATATTGGGGTACCTATCGATCAGGCGTCTATTTTGGACTAAAAACTAGAGATCCTCATTCTTTAGTAACAGGATTGATGTGGTATTTTCCACATTTGTTGCGTCAGGACAAAAGTGGCCTTAGACATTGGTGTGAACAAAATGATAGATTAGATAGGTGAATAAAATTTATTTTGTTCAATGATATTTTCATAATTTTATGTATAATAATCATCATTTGATTTCTGTTTAGATATGCATGGATGGAACATGATGGAAAAAATTTTGGTGTTCAAGAAATAGTGGATAATTCAGCTATTTTAACTACTACATTTGTTAAAAGACCAGGCGGTAAACATGGTGGAGATTGGACCGCAAGAATTTCTGTAACTTCTGAAGATAAAATACGAGATGGTGAAGAAATCTCATTACTTTTCTACACTGCCATTGAAGAAAATGTTAAAGGATGGATTAAAGCTAATCTTGGGGATGAGAAACAGTTAACAGGCGTAGAAGGGAATACTCAAGGTTTAGGTTCATTTATTATAAATCTTAATATGATACATGGAACGGTAGAAGAACATTCTTTTCTAGTAACTGTTGCCCCTGGCTTAAATATTTTGAAAGAAACTGTACTTCAAAATCTTAGAATAGCATTTCACAAAGGTTCAACAAAAGAATATATAGTTCTAGCGGGTGATCAAATACCACTATCGATAGATGGGAAAAAAAGAGATGCAAATTTTATTGCGACACAAATAACAGGAAAAATTCCTTTTGAAATTGAAATTAGTTATGAATCTGGTAGTTTTATTAACAGAGTTGACAAACTGACTGGTCAAAATTATGATCGTGCTTTAAAAACGCACCGAAAATTATTTGATGAAAAGTTTGAGAAAGTATTTAAATTAAAGTCAAAAGGTTATGCAGAAGAAGAAATTGAATTTGCCAAAATGGTCTTATCGAATATGATAGGCTCCATAGGTTATTTCTATGGAAGTTCACAAGTGCAAAGTCAATATACTAAAGGTCCTGTGCCTTATTGGAAAGCACCTTTGTATACTGCTGTACCTAGTAGAAGCTTTTTTCCACGAGGATTTCTATGGGACGAAGGTTTTCATGGCTTGCTTATATCAGCTTGGGATCTAGAAATTGAATTGGATATTATAAATCATTGGTTTGATTTAATGAACGTCGAAGGATGGATTCCAAGAGAAATGATTTTGGGTCAAGAAGCATTAGCAAAAGTTCCAGAAGAGTTTGTAACTCAAGTGAATACAAATGCAAATCCGCCTACATTTTTCTTAACATTGCATTTCATACTTAAACATAAACAAGAAGAGGTATTAGAAAAGCATTTCCAATTTTTTGATAATTTGTATCCTCGTCTTCAGACATGGTTCAGTTGGTTTAACACTACGCAAACTGGAGATATACCCAGTACGTATAGGTGGCGAGGTAGAGATGGAACAACTAACAAAGAATTAAATCCAAAAACGCTCACGTCTGGTTTAGATGATTATCCGAGAGCTTCTCATCCAAATATCGACGAAAGGCATGTTGATTTACGTTGCTGGATTGCATTTGCCGCTCATATTATGCATCAAATCAGCGAAATGTTAAATCAGTCTAATAATAAATATCAAGAGACCTATCAGTATTTATCTGATAATAGTTTGTTGAATAAATTACATTGGTCGCCAAATACACAAACGTATGCCGATTTTGGATTGCATACAGATAAAGTACTCTTACGAAAAGTAACTTCCCCTCCAAAATCACATGCACAACCGTCAGAAACAATAAGAGTCGTAATGGAAGATCCAACTCTAAGATATGTTGATTCATCCTTCGGTTATGTTTCCTTATTTCCATTTATTTTACAAATCATCGATCCCGATTCTCCACAGTTGGGTAAAGTATTACAAGATTTAACAAATCCCGATCTATTGTGGACCAAACATGGTTTACGATCACTCGCGAAGATATCACCATTTTACATGAAATATAATACTGAACACGATGCTCCTTATTGGAGAGGAGCTATTTGGATGAATTTAAATTATTTGACAGTACGAGCGACGCATTACTATTCTAACATTGATGGTCCATATAAAGAGAAAGCGAGGAAGATTTATCAGAATTTAAGGAAGAATTTAATACAAAATGTCTTTAAACAATATAAAAAAACTGGATACATATGGGAAAATTATGGAGATGTTCATGGAGAACCAAAAGGTAGTCATCCATTCACTGGTTGGACGTCTCTAGTTTTATTACTCATGGCAGAAATTTATTAATCATAGAATCGTATTGTAAATAGTTTCATCTATAAGTATACATATTTTATCAACAACTGAATCAAATGATGTTACTCATATTCACATAAGGTAAATGCTGTGAATGTTGAATACTTTGTTGTTATGCATAAAATTGTGATAATACTTGTAAATTATTACAGTCACTTATATAGAATTCAGTGCTTTTTTATAATAGAATGATACTGATTGAAGTGTAAATTTCAAGAAATGGAACATTTGCTGCATGTATTGTAGTCACGCAAAATTGATTATGTATGAAATCTATTTTAATAGAGATCTCAAATAACATTATCAATTGACATATTTTTACATTAGCTTTCTGACTACCTCTACAATATAATGATTATAATACCAAGACACTAATAAAAAGAATCTTTAGTACATATCCATATTATGTTTAATTTTTATATATTATTTATAACTATTACCTTTCTTTACAATTTAGGTAATTTATGCAGTTTAAACAAAAAAACCAAATAAAGCACTATTTTAGCATAATCAAACAAATCACTCTTAAAGCTTGGCTGTGACTAAACTATTCTATGAGTTTTATTTGATACACGCATTTACAAAAAAAAAACCAAGTACTTTATTATGATTAATATTTTTGTTATATACGTGACGTCTTAATAAATATTTAATAAAACTTATTTATCTGTATATATTTATCTGTATGCATCTGTATATATTAAAATTTATGACAAGTGATCAATGTGAATTATCGCTTTTAAATATTTTTAAATTTTTCAGAAAAAAATTGAACAAGCTATTGGCAAACCTGTTTGTACCTAGTAACAATAATTTCATTCCACTTAGCTGTCAATAACTCCCTTCAAAATTCACCAGAGAATAGGTGTGCGACTGTGGGGTTACAGTTGTGAATTTTCTAAACTTCTTACACATAAAATAGCGCGATTTTTTAGATAACTATGGAACCATACGATGTAATAATTAATCAACCTGTAGTTATCGACAACGTGAGTAATGTATTAAAATATTCGAATGTTTAAATCAGTATGTCAAATTCAATTCTACCATAATGTCGGCTCCTAAGTAACGCACAAAATTGTTCCTTTTTCTTTGAAATTATGAATATTGCATTACACGATGTGATTCTTCTGTATTCTTTCGTATCATTTTCATTATTTACATTTTATTGTACAAATAGGTTACGTGTGATAACACTAGTGATGTAGTAAAGATAAAATAATTTTTAGCTTTTAAAATCGATAATAATATTTAACGATAGTATTGTATGGTTTTTTATGTTCTTTTTTTTTAGGGCTCTGGTGTAATCAAAGCAGGATTTGCTGGCGATCAGATACCAAAATGCAGATTTCCAAATTAGTAAGTGTATCTTCTACTATCATCTAATTGACATTTTTGACAACTTTCCAATTGTTTAGAAGTTACTAGACAGGTATTGAGGTAATTTTAAGTGTTCTGAATTCTTATAAGTTTTATAGAATTCTTATAAGCTTTACTTTTCTGTATTTTTTGATTTGCGTAATGTTATTAACTATCGTAATTACATGTTACATTAATAATATTGTTGCAGTATTGGCAGACCCAAACATGTGCGTGTTATGGCTGGTGCTTTAGAAGGAGATCTTTTTGTGGGCCCAATAGCAGAAGAGCATCGTGGGCTTTTATCCCTTCGTTATCCGATGGAACATGGAGTTGTTACAGACTGGAATGACATGGAAAGAATTTGGTCCTACGTTTATAGTAAAGATCAATTAGCAACATTTAGTGAAGAACATCCAGTTTTGTTAACAGAAGCCCCTCTTAATCCAAGAAAAAATAGGGAAAAAGCTGCAGAAATATTCTTTGATACGTTCAATGTTCCAGCTTTGTTTGTTTCAATGCAAGCTGTTCTTAGTCTGTAGGTATTCAGCTATATTTTTTATATAATATCAATGAACAGTGAGCAACATTCTCATTATTTAAATTTAATTTGAAGATATGCCACAGGGCGAACTACAGGAGTAGTTTTAGATGCTGGAGATGGTGTCACACATGCGGTACCTATTTATGAAGGTTTTGCTATGCCTCATAGTATTATGAGAGTTGATATAGCAGGACGTGACGTCACAAGGCACCTCCGACTCCTTTTACGTAAAGAGGGCATTAATTTCAGAACTACAGCAGAATTTGAAATTGTTAGAACAATTAAAGAGAAGGCATGTTATCTTGCTAGTAATCCTCAAAAAGAAGAAACTATTGAAACAGAAAAATTCCAGTATATATTACCTGATGGAAGTTATTTGGAGGTAATAATACATATTGTTTCATTAAAATTAGAGAATCGATTTAAATGTTAATTATATCTTAAATTTATATGAAAACTCTTATTGTGTAACGTATGCAAAGTATGGAATTTATCTGCAATAGATTGGACCAGCGCGATTTAGAGCTCCTGAAGTGCTCTTTAGACCAGATTTGATTGGAGAAGAATGCGAAGGACTTCATGAAGTATTAACATATTCCATTCAAAAATCTGATTTAGATTTAAGAAAAGTATTATTCCAAAATATTGTCTTATCAGGAGGATCAACATTATTCCGTGTAAGTATAAAATTAATGAAATATTTTTCATATATTAATTCATATTAAATTGAATTTTATAAATATTAAATATGTGTATATTATGTGTTAGGGATTTGGTGATAGATTATTATCTGAAATTCGTAAAATGGCGCCGAAGGATATAAAAATTAGGGTATGTATAATATGCAATGAATAATATTTACAATTGAATATTCCTTTGCTAAGAATGTTTAAATTCCAACATAGATATCAGCTCCTCAAGAACGATTATATAGTACTTGGATTGGAGGTTCTATCTTAGCTTCTTTAGATACATTCAAGAAGATGTGGGTTAGTAAAAGAGAATATGAAGAAGATGGTATTAGGGCAATTCATCGTAAAACATTTTGAACTTAATTTAGAAAGGTTTATGATGTTATGTCAAATAATTTAAGTACAACACATAAATAATGGCACAGTCGGCACAAAAATCGACATGTACCGCGTTTACCATGCTCTTTGAATGCTTTTAATATTACAGTTTTTTAAAAATGTTGCTTTTTTTTTAAATGAACTGGTTTTTTTTTAAATGAAAATATGTTCCAAGGGATCACAAAATGTTCATATTTAAAAAGAAATGTAATGCAAGGAATACAATACAAGTTATTTTATACTTCGGTAGTTTGTAGAAAACTTTTAATATGCAAATATTTATTTAGTCATAGTTTTAGAATAAAAGTTTTATTATAACTTTTAAATAATATTTATTTATTAAGATTCCTTGGAAATGTACATAAAAGTTTCCAAAACTAGATATATTTTAACTTTCCAAATTAAATACTTCGAAACTTTTAAAACTAAATACTACGTTTCTTTTTGAAGATTTTGAATGAAATCTCTTTTATAAAAATACCGTCTGTCTGAGGTATAATATTTGCTTTTATATTTATTATTTTATGATATGTAATACAACAAAAGAACAGATTATTCAGATTAAAACACAAATTAAATGCTTTGTTTAACGAAATTATCGTTATAAAGAAGATAATGTAATTTCTATCTATAGTAACAATTTTGCAAAGTATTTGTAAATATGTATGCTTTGGTAAAATAAATCTATAAACTCTTTACACGTATGCTGGTTACACCGATTTTTATAATTAAGTGGTAACAATTGCAATTTATACGATTTCACGTAATGTAATACATAAATTGCAATACATTAAGACAGTAAACAAATATTTAATAATAATTTTATTACAGAGATATTAAAAACATTTGTATGTTTTATGCATTTTTTTAGCAGTATTAAAATTATTGAATATGAGTTGTATAAATTATTCACTATCATATCATTCACTTTTTAAGTGTATTTTGATTATTGTAAAGTTAACTTCTTAATTATTGTTAGATATTTGTAATTTTTTTTACAATTTAATTTATTGACTAGGTCGTTTTAAGCTGCATCTTATTTATTATAAATTTATTATAAATTATTTTATTATAAATATCAGTTATAATAATTAGTATTGTAAAATTAATGTTATAATGTTTGTATTGCTTACTTTAATAGCTATATAATTTATAAAGGAAAATGTATACTTATATAATTTATAAAATGTATAATTATATAATTTATAATAAAATGCATAATTATATAATTTATAATAAAAGAGAGAAATTACTTTTTACTAACGCACATTCTATAATTTATAAAATGTATAATTATATAATTTATAATAAAATGCATAAGTATATAATTTATAATAAAATGTACAAGTATATAATTTATAATAAAAAAGGGGAATTACTTTTTACTAACGCACATTCTATCAATTTGATAGAATTATTATTAAATGAGTATCATATAATTCTGTATTATAGATATATATATATATACGAAATTAATTTGTGTAGTTAGGTACCTATAGATGTTCGAATATGGCGACGTCCATAGTGACGCATCGTTTAACAACACTGTATTTCCACAAATATTTTCAAATAATTGTAGAAGACAGTCTACAATAAATACTGTCAGATTGCTCTTTTAACTCTTAATAATTAGAGTCTGCAAATCTGGATGAAACTAAGGAAAAAATGATAGCCGCCTCAGAACCGGTGGTAAGTCAAATGTTTAAGGTTATAATAATTGATAAACACATATAGTTGAACTTCAAAATAAAAATTTTTAGTTTTATACATTAATTTAAATATGTTATTTTATTATTTATTATTTGAACATTTTTATTAATCTAAGCAAGTAATTAATGTATTTAAGAAGCTATAATTTTAATTTCATAATACAGGAATATATTCCTGGTGGAAGACAAATAATTTTACGACATCCTGAATCAATGACTAATCAACAATTATTGAACAATCAAACAGTTGAAGGAGAAAGTATTTTATTACAAAAATTTAGTCAAGTGAACATTTCAGATACATTGCCAGTGAGTATATATGATGTTTTTATTTATATTAATTAATATTCTTAATATATCAATTATACACATATAGAAGGAATTTTGGATTGTACGTGAAAACGATGTATGTGGCGAAGAAGAATTATATTGTTCAGGCAAAGTTGCAATTCATTCAAAGGGTAACCAAACAACTAGGATATTGGAAACAACATATACTTGTGAAACAGATATTAAACATGCACTATGGTGTAAATTTCATACTAATATACACGATCATTTAGTAAAAAGGAAAGAAACGGATGAAGAAGATGATTCTGATAAAACAATAGAATGTATTTGCTTAATTGATTCATATACTCTTAAAGTATTCACCAGTCTTGGAGAAGATTATGTATCCAGTTTGCAATTTCAGGTAATATTTCAATTAAATATAATATAAATATAATATCATGAGACTTATAATTAGATTTATAATTATATCATTATGTAGGTATCTGCTGTTTGGTCAACAAGATATGGAATTTTGTTGGAAAAAACACAAGTTCCTATATCAGAAATGAGGTATATTTCTTAATTTTTAAAAAGCTTGTATAATAACAATTTAAAATGTGCATGAATAATATTGTGATCGATATTTGTAGATATACATCATTGGAAGGAAGTAGATTACAATTAAATAATAACACAAATTTGCCAGTGGTATTTTCTCTTACACATCCTTTAGATGAAATTTGTCCTGTACTTATTAAGCATGGTACTATCATAAATTGTATTAATCTCTTTATAACACTTTAGATCAGAAAATATATTTAATATATGATATTTAATATTTATAGGAAACATATCATATATGTATGAGTCAAATCAACAAATTGTATTTACTAGTTGTGAACCATCTTTGGCTGTGATATATGATACAAAGACTGGATTACATTCTGTATATAAAATACGTAAAGCATCCACAGAAGAGTGTCAAATGGTTTGTGGAAATAGTGATATTACGCCTAGTATAATTAATCAATCAGCAAGTGCTTCATCTTTAAATATTGGAAGTAATCTTTCCTGTAATAAAAGTACAAATAAAGGACACTTAAGTATTTTTGGTAAGAATAATAAAGTAGAAAAGTCATGTAGAAAAGTCATTCGATTTTGGAAAATTGAAATTTTCAATTAAAATATATTTGTATTTCAGGGGTACCAAATCCACAATATAATATGGGACTAGGAATGTCAAATAGTCCATTTGGTTCTCGAACCACTACTTCAGGAGGTCCATCACCTTCTCAACAACAACAGCAGCATTCAAGATCTCAGAGTCCAATGGCAACTATTTCACGTTGTCAGTCTCCTACTCATTCTGCTTTCTCACCTTTACTTGGTGTATCTGCGAATTCAATCATTCATCATACAAGGTTGCATCCACTAATGACTTCTTTATTAAATCACACACAAAGTAGTCCCCTTGGTAGTTGCAGCAACATACAATTGCAGGATGTTATTTCACCAAGTAAACCTTTATATCCAGAAATATGTCTAGATCATGTATGGACTGAGAATATTGGAATTTCAAAGTATGTGTTATATGTTCATATAAATTTTACAAATTTTTTTCATTTTTACTTTCTGTGTGTTACATGTTCAAACAATATAGCATTAATATTTTTTTAAGGGATGGTATATCCGGTCGAGCATCAAAAGTTTTTTTATCATCAGACTTCGTGGGGCAGAACTATTTATGTTACTTAGTTCCACATAGATCTCAACTTTCTTTAGTAAGGCTTGAAAAAACAAATAAGCAACAACAAATTATATTTGGTATGGTAACTAGTATTGTGGCTAAGGGTGCTGTTAATATACCAGTTAGTATTTATTAACATTTTAAAATTATATTTAATTATTAGTAAACATATAAAACGAATTATCTTATATTTTAGAATTTACATATAATAGCAATAATGGATCTATCAAATGCAGTAGTGTTATATTCGGGAGTGATTTGTATCGGAAAATTACACGTAACCGGTATACTTCCAAATCTAACTGGATATAACTACTTTTTGTCTAATATAAATCATAAATTAAGTTCTCCATTCCCGCGACGAAGTTCATTGATTTCTCAAAACTGTGCCGCTTCTCATGATATTAAATTTGAAGAAGGATTGCATTTATTAAGTCCTGTAGGTGGTAACTGTGCAAAACCACCTATTTTACTAGAAAATTCTTTAGTAGAGAATAATTTTCTTGTTTTAAAAGAAGCAGTCGGAAATAAAATTACTTTAGAATATGGAAGTAAAAATTATTTTCGAATAACATTGCCAACGTCCAGTACCTCTCCCTTAGGTAAGCATTTATAGTAACTATTATATTCGATGTAATACTAAATATATTTTTTATATATTTTTTACAGTAACTAAATGTTTACAAACGTTAAGAAGTGTTTTACAAAAAGATTTAGCGATGCAGTTATTGGTAAAATGGTATGCGGCACGAAATGCTCCTGGACCTCAAGATTTTTCACCAGAACAAGAATGGTATCTTTTTCTGGTAGTTTTATTTACGTTATTAGGACATGAAGTAGAAAAGTTACAATTAATTCAAAAGAATGAAAAAGATCAGCTTAGTGAACGCAACAGTCCTATAGTGGTGTTAAAGAAGCAGAAAACAAATAATTCTGGATCGAATGATGACTGGAAGTACACAAAAAATTTTATAAAAAGTGGAAATTCTCAAATGTTTATTTCAAATATACTTGGCCTGCAGAAAACGTCTAATATATTTCAAGCTTCAGTGCCACATATTACAGAATCAAATAATGCAGGGAAAATAAATACGCAGTCTATTTTATTTCCATATTTTCCACTCGTTCTGCTTTCTTTGCATCTTTTATATGAAGAATTAAAGCTGAATTGTATGATGTCAGAAAGTTTACCTTTGCTTGCACAATTATTATACCAATTAAGCTTGGATTTAAAATTTAATATATACGCTCATCATTATTTTCTTGATTTTCCATCCGTCTATTATTTAAAAAATGTTGTATCCCAAATGAAGGAAATGGATTTGCAGAAGATTATTATACCGAATTATATTCCATTAAAACCACCGAACATATTTGAAACATTAAATAATCTATTAAATGGAATGGCAGTAACGCCATTCCCTTATTTAAGTCAAGTAAATCCAAAGACGAAAAGTGTAATTTATTTAATGGCACTTATAGCAAATGAAAACGAATCTATCGTATTAGAAGTCGATAGATTTATAAAGCATATAATACCAGCTGGAAGTCGTATAGATTTCCAAGAAAGCGGAAATAAATTCGAGAAAGAAATATGTAAAAATATTGAATGTACTGCGATAGATAGAATAGTATTATTATATCATGAATTAGGTAAATTTTTAATACTTAAAATATTACTAATTTTTAATGTGAGTTAAAAATTAAAATATTTTGTTTTTAGGTATGAACAAAAAAGATCTTGAAACATTACCTCCTGGTGTATCACTATTGTTGAAAGATATAATGTACAGATGTAGAGAACGTCCTCCATCGAATTGGCCAATGCAAGTGTACGAATTAGTAGATCGACAAGATTTATCTGCACTGGATGAACATTTAAAATCATCAACATCAAATCATTTGGAAAATGAAGGAAAGAATTATTCAATTAAAGATCCTGAACAAGATGATGGAATGGAATTTGATGATGCTGTATATACATATATAAATAACATTTATAATTATAAAACATATTTACACAATATTATTTGTTACATATATTAATTATGATATTATAGGTGCTAAAGTTAAGATTTAATAAAGATCACAGAATAGCAGAAGTTCGAAAACTACTAAATTCGTCTAAACCGGTAAGAATAGCGATAGTTCAGAGGCCAGATGTAAGCGATCATGAATTTATAGAAGAACAAGAGAAACATTTACATGCATTATGCACAAGAACAATGGCTCTTCCAGTAGCTAGGGGTATGTTTACACTCAGAACCTCAACTCCTATTATTACAGAACAGTTACCAATTCCTCGACTTTGCTTAACTGGTATGTACAAATAATAGCATTTATATTTTTAGAAATTTTTAACAATCTAAAATGTTATATATATATATATTTATATTTATATT